CCTGCCCTGGCCTTTGGCGGGGGGGGGGGGGACAAGGCTTGTAGCAAATATGTGTCATATACATAAATCTATTTCCTGCAGAGTTGGGAGGCACGCTATCTCTATTAGCATTTTTAAAATGGCTTTTAAGTATTAATTGTTAATTGTTATTATTAGCTTTCTGTCTGTTGGTTTTAATTGTTCTTTGTTTTTGTGGATTGGTATCCATATGTTTTATTGTAAGCTGTTAAGAAATTGAGTATTTATCTGTCCAGCTTGATATACAAGACATTGTATATGTTCATATATGTCACATGGACACATTTATTAGAGACAGGGTGGGAGGGGGAAATCTGTAAGTCTGGTTTGAACTGGAGTTGACAACCATAGATAGACAAGATGGAGAATTTGGGCACTGAACACTGAATTGTTCCTTGTGCTTATAATCTTGTTCTTGACTCTTTTCTGGTGTGAAGGTGATCTCAAATTCAGGGTCTTCATAAATATATTAATAGCACTATGTACCTTAATGCTTTTAAAGGTTACTCAGTTTGTTCATGGTAAGAGTCTATCAATATTATCAGAATGGTAGCAAAGGAAAACATGAGTATTTACAGTGTTCTATTTTATTCTTGTAATAGGAAATAGATTTTAAAAATAGCTCAAGACCAATGCACTTCCTCTTTTTGAGCCTCAGATTGAAAAAAACCCTCATATTAAGGATGTAATGTAAAAATTTCCGTCATGTGCAGAATGTGTATTACAATTTACGTATACTATAATATTATATAACACAAACTTATATGGAAATACAGACATAGAGAGAGAATCCTACCCAACAATTTTGCCCAGACATAATTTTGCTGTGCTATATTGCAAAGAAAAATGGATAGGGTGACAGTAATATTCTAAATGCATGTTTGTTAGGTTGGACTCAGAAATTACCATCTTTTGTGAGAAACCTTTAGTTTCTCACTATTTTTCCTGCATTTTTTTAAAAAAAATCATATAAAAGATTGGCTAATTGTACTAGGAGCCGATTATATAAAAGCACTTCTAAATGTACCATGAACTATGCAAATATTTAGCTTTGAAATATAATAAAATGTGTTTCCTGAATGTGTAGGTATAATGAACAATTATGTAGAGACAAAATTATATTAGAACCAAGATAGATATGATGCTTCCTAGTGGCTACAGCACAGTGAAATCTATATACTTTCTCTTTCAGCTATCTCTATCGATTCACAGTGTGTACTATAGTTTTCCTCTTCCTCCTCCTCCTCCCCCTCTCCTCCTCCTCCTCTAATAAAAAGAAAGAAAATAAGGTATAAAAACCATAGTGGGAGAAGTGTCACATCCCTTATGATATGTAAGTAGGACTACAATTATGATGAAAGCAATATTTTACTTTTCTGTAACATTTGCAGTTTATCACCACAATGTGGGTGGCATTTCCATTTTAAATTTCATTCATGCTGCCCTCTCTAACAGAATAGCAATTGGGAGATCAATGGGAACTTTGGTTATACATGATGCTGGAAACTTAATTCCACAGATAGCAACAAAAATTTGAGGACAGTGAGAACTCCAAGGAAGAATAAATGATTGTGAATTGCCCTTTCTCTATTCTGAAAATGCTAAATTCTACCATAGAATTAGAAGTTTACAGCCTACCACCAGATTACCATTATAACCCAAGTCTGATGGGGCTTTTTCCTGCAACACTGGGCTAGCAACTGCAACTTTTATCATCTCAAACCAATCTCAGAAAACTGCCAAGGGAGAATGAGCCTTAGGATTTTGACCCACCTTCTTGCAATGACATATCTGGCCTCTGAAAGAAAGGTTCATTATATGGCCACTGCTGGTTGTGTTTTTTTTTTTACAGTTTACAGTATATTTAACAATTAATTAATAGGATATGACTTTTAGATAGGTTTAACCTACTATTATTACTATAGTTGGTCACATAGATGTTTAGACTGGATTTGCCATTTTTGTCTATATCCTGGGATAGACAGATATTGTTGTTTAAATGTATTGTGGCAGGATTTATCTGTTCCAAATAAAGCTGTCGTTGCAATTGACTGATGTGGAATTTGTCAGTGTCCATGGTACTCATACTTCAGGTAGGTGGGTGGGTGGATGGATGGATGGATGGATGGATGGGGAAGGGCAGGGCAGGGGAGAACAGAGCAGGCAGATGGTAAATAGATCTATAAACATTCACACATAGGTTGTTAAATATAGATATAGAGATTCCAGTATTTTGTTTATTTATTTATAAGATCTAGAGACTGCCCTCTCATTCACCGAGCAATTTTATTAAGATAATATATTTAAATCTAAGCCCTACAAAATTGTATTTTCCAGTTTCACCTCTCCTTTGGTACAAAGCTGATTCAAAAGCTAGAATTTTCATTTAACCAAATGAACCAAATTTCATTTAGAATCTGGCATATAAGCATTCTTTTCTTATTACTCCCAATTTAAATACAATATCCCACCATCTTTTTTTTGTTTTCATAGTTTCTGAAGAACAGCTGTTGACAGTTGAAGAATATGACCTAAATGTGGTGAGACTCTGTTTCCAAGTATTCATCTGTGATGAACATGGCAACTGCACACAACCTATATCCCCAGTCGTCTCCAACCCCATTTATGATAACCGTAAGTATCTAAGAACAGGGTTTATTTCATGTCAAGTTTCTGCTGCTGTGTTCCCTACCTGCTCTTTGGCACCACTTGTTCTCTATGGAATTGCTTCATCTCTCTTCTCCCCAAAAGACAACAGAAGATAACTGAAAGCATCTTTGGTAGACACATAGTTTTTGAATATTCAGAGAATTCAATTTGAATGTATATTCTCCAGCTGAAATATATTTTCAGACAAAGACAAATTGTATTATATTTCAGTACATATATGGCATATTATATGTCATATTATATTAATGAAATATAATTCATATGAAGTTATGGAGCATATGGCCCAGGGGTGGGTTGCTGCTGGCATTACTGCCAGTTTGGTACATGCGCATTTGCACATAAAGTCTGTGCATGCGCAAAATGTTAAAAATGAAAAAAAATTGCAATGAAAATTGTTCTGCGCATGCACAGAACCGAAAAACAAGATGGTGCCACCGTAGGAGAACTGGTTCAGGGTGTGGCAGGCCTGGGGCACTGCCGATTCCAGTGACCCAGGCTGCCAAACCACTACTGGTTCACCCGAACCGGTCCAAACGGTAGGAACCCACCACTGATATGGCCATTTTCCCACTGCTTATTTAAAGCCCAATTTTTTTCTGCTAGGAAAAAACATTCTGCTAATAAAGGAGAATATTTATAGCTCAGGGTTGAAATGAAGAGTCCTTGCTGCTCTCTGAGCTTGGTTGTTTTCTTGCACTGATGATGTTACTTAGTTTAGGTAATGAAATGTTTAGTTTAGTTTAGGTAATGAAATGTCAAGAAAACAACCACGCTCAGAGAGCAGCAAGGACCCCTCAAAAACCTTTGTGATCATAATTTGCTCCTCTGCTATCTTCCCTCCAATGTCAATGGAGGCAGGAATGGTTACAAATTAAGGTGCCTTAAGGAAGAAAAATGGGATTCGTTGTGTCCTTTGATGCTATTTCAACTTTGCACAGGTTTAATTTTCTGAAAATTCACCTCTGTCCCTCCCCTGTTCCTGATATGATTTTAAAGGCTAGTGGCATGTTATTTGGCACTGAAAGACTTGAATCTTGGGTAGAAAGCAAAATTGACTAGAATTTAGTCAGTGAAGTCCTTAAAATTGTCAGATATGTTTTTGGATAATTGAAAACTGTTTTTTTTCCCTTTGTGAGTTCCATACCTCTATACCTCATCATTTTATAAAAACCACTCCTTTTCTTGAACATGTTTTAATAGATTGTTGTACTTTTGCATGACAAGTGAGCAGAGCAGGGCAGGAAAATAGGGTTGAATGTATTTTTTAACTTTTGGGGAGGCAGTAAACATTTTTTGAGATCATCTGGCCCTTATTTGAGAAGGCAAATGTTGGGGGGGGGGACAGAACTAGTAGTGGTATGGCGGCGTGGGTTACTGGAACCAGCAGCGACCCAGGCCTGCCACACCCCCGAACTGGCTCTCCAGTTGGGGCCGTCAGTGCTGCCATCTTGTTTTTTAAGTTCTGTGCATGCGTAGAACAATTTTAATTGAACTGCACATCCGCGCACAGCACGCATCCAGCACACGAGCAAAGCAGGTGCACAAGCGAAGCAGCAGTAAAGCCAGCAGGAACCCACCCCTGGGGGAAAGTATTGGTGGCAGATGCTGACCAACACCCAAACAGAAAGGAAGAGGATTATTTCTTTGGTTAAGCCCATTCATGACAATATTCAGAAATAAATCCCCTGATTAATTACCCAACAGATTAATTACCCTGCATATTTTCTTGCTATGATAAGGCCCTGGTTTTGAGCAACAAAATGGATATTTAATTCAGAATTCAAAATGGCAACAGAAAACCATTAAATGTGTGCTGAGAACTAAAGAAAGACAGCAAGCATTATCAAGGAGGAACATCAGGGATGGGGGCATAATGATGTCATGTAAAATGCTGGTGGTAAAGGGGGGTATGTGGATGCTTGAAATGTATCTATTGCTTTCTGTGCTTTACCTATCTTCAGATAAAGAGTTGCTTGCAGAACTTTCTCTCCCCCAGTTCTGTTTTTAGACATATGTAATCATAATAGCCATTCTTTACTCTTCTCTCCCCCAATCATTAATTCCTTTTTCTGTTTAGGTGCACCCAATTCAGCTGAATTGAGAATCTGCCGTGTGAACAAGAACTGTGGAACAGCGAAAGGAGGAGATGAAATTTTCCTCTTGTGTGACAAAGTTCAGAAAGGTGATTGGAAACTGGAATTCCATGTATACTATGAACTTTAACTTTAGATATCAGAGAATAAGATATGAAAAAGCAACCAATTTTATATGTATGCATGTACTCTTCCACAGGAAAATGGAAGTGGTGAAACTGAATCCCAAATATCCACCAATTTTGAATTATGACATGTAATCTAGCAAAATATTGTAATATTTGAGCATATAACTTGGCCAGTGGAATGGTACATCCCAAAAAGTCTAGTTTTATTCAAATTACAACTAAACATTGTATAATCTGTTGATTTATATACTGCAGAATTATGAAACAATGCATGTACTAGTTTTGAACTCAAAAGCACTTTCCTGTCCTCACCCTTGTCATTTTCAGGATGTCCAGAATTGCTCAAGACTCCTTTCAGCTGATCAAAGGAGAAATGCAAAAACTGGCATCTTAGTGTTAATATGGTGTGTGTGTGTGTGTGTGTGTGTGTGTGTAAGGAAGAACAAAAATGGATTATTGTAGGGAAAAGCTGCAAAATTGTCCTGCTGCTTAATTTAAAGAGTCCAGTGAAATGGGAGCAACTCTTCCAGATATTCTAGAGAGCTACGGAAAAGGGACAAGGCAAGACTCCTTGCCAATGGGAAATGGCCAGACCTGCAGCCACAGTGCTAAAGGTGCAAAACTGCCTTTTCAAGCATTTACAGGGCTGCAGATGTCTATGTGATATTTCACATGTTACAGAATAAATAGCACTGGCACTCAAAGCACAAGCTTTAGCTAGCTTACGTTGTAAACCAGACCACCCTAACCAGTGGCGATCTAGATGTCTTATGCCCAGTGCTATCGGCCAATATGGCCGCTGGCTATGGATGTCAGGAGCGGGAGACTGGCACTTTCAGTAAGTGCCAAATTTAGAAGAGCTACTCTATGTTCATCAGCTAGATTGATCAGTGATGAAATGATGTGGAGATAAGATTAATTAATAAATTGCTGATCCAAGTCTATTAGGTCAGTGTTTTTCAAGCTTAGCAACTTTGAAGCAAGTGGCCTTCAATATGCTGGTTGAGGAATTCTGGGAGTTGATGTCCACAAATCTTAAAATTGCCCAAGTTAAAAAAGGCCGTACTTAATAAAATAAATCTTCTAAGGTTAAAAAAAACATTCCATGTTAAATTCAAGACTTTCATAATCTGGGTCTTAATAAAATATGAAATCTGGCTAAACTGGACTATTTCTAAATGCTATTCTTTCCCAAATATGGGTGTGTCAGATGTATTGCTATGACATTTATAATCCATATAGAAAGCAGAACTGATCCTTTTTGGTATTTCATGCTAAAAAAAAATACTCTTTGAACTATGATTTGTTGTTTTATTCCTAAAATTAAGTGTGATATTTATATCTTTCTGATGAACAGATGATATAGAAGTGAGATTCTTCATGAATGACTGGGAAGCCAAGGGGATTTTTTCACAAGCTGATGTTCATCGTCAAGTAGCAATTGTCTTCAGGACGCCCCCATTTTTCAAAGATATCCCAGATCCTGTGACTGTGAAGATGCAATTGCGAAGGCCCTCAGATCAGGAAGTCAGTGATCCTATGGACTTTAGATATTTACCAGATGAAAAAGGTACATTCTTATACACATTTGTTGAGGTAGGGCTAATTACTGCTTTTAAATCAGGGTCCATGCTAGTTTAGTGAAGAACTTACAGATTTCTGATCTGGGAACAATTTCTTTTTTTGTCATTACTATGGTAATATTGTGACCTAGTCTTCCCCAGCTTAGTGGTCTGCAATTATTCTGGAGCATCATATACCGAATTTTCAATCAGCATGGCCTTGTGCTAACTGAAAAGGCTGAGAGTTAAGGTTCAGCATAGTTTAGGCTGAAGAAGATTGCTTAAAAGCTACTGCCATAATCTACCTTTGCCTGTGCTTGAGAATCAAAGCTGGTCGTATTGGCTGCCCACACAGCAGGCTTGTCCACATGGTTGACTCCTTGGAGGCATTGATAATTGTGATGGGAGAAAGCTTTTGGAAACAAACTTTTGCAAAGACCAAAGCAAAACAGATAAAATAGACTTCAGTCAACCACACGGAGGTACTGAAGCATGAGAAGGTTGGTAGCCTGGCTGGCATTGCAGACATACAACGCATTCTTTTAGGTGGGTGACATCAATATGAGCCTCACTCTCACTGGGCACCAGCCTTCTTGTTTTGGGGATGTTGCTGGCTGGGGAATTCTGGGAGTTAAAAGTCCACAAATCTTAAAGTTGCCAAATTGGCATATATGGGGAAAGCTTGGAAGTGATAACCCCAAATCTGCTTAATTACAGAGATTTCCCTCACTCCCTGAATGTTGGGAATATGGCATTACCAATTCTTTATACAGCTTCAATCTTCCCATCTCCCAAAATAGTGCCAGCCTTTGGAAGCAGCATTTGCAATTATCTCACTGCTTGTTTTATGTTAGAAAACTTCCTTCCAGCACTCTAAATATTTATTCTCTTAAAAAAAAAACATTACAACAAGAGTTCTTCATTAGGACCTCTGCAAGCTTAGTTAATTGGAAAACTGGCTTAGGGCTAATGAAAAAAATGTCAAAAGAGAGAAGAGAATTACGGGAGCTTTTCATTTTAAGTATATTGCCAATTTCTTTGGGAGGAGCTAGCATATGTTAATATATTTAAATTGTAAGTTTATAGAGCAAGAAACAAGAGCCCATACAGAAGACCCTAGGTTCAAAAACAAAGTAGCAAATTGTGTGAAGAAGCTTTGCTTGTAAGTTTGGAGAGTTATTTTCTGTCCAAATATAGCAGGCTGGGTAAGAAGGCAACTCTATGTAAGATAATATTCTATATTTTATTGTAGTCAAATAGAACACACAATTAAACCTTTCTCTTTCGGAAAACATTCCCAACAGCATCATATGTGTATATATTTAATTGAAATGCTGTTGTTTTTTTCCTTTCTGTTTTAGATCCTTATGGCCATAAGGCAAAGAGGCAGAGGTCACCAATGGCTTTACAAAAACTCATTCAAGACTCTGGTAAATCTCATCCCATCTTATTTTGTTCTTCTAATATGAAACCCCTCTCTCCCAAACTGGGTTTATCCTTGAGGCTTCCTAGCGTCATTTGAATGGAGAATATTTCAACTCAGAAGTCCTGTGTAGAGAGATAGAGGTCTGTGCCTTAGAAAACCATTATGGGTTTTCTTTTCAGTAAAAGCTGCACCATGTCCTGTGTTATCATACTTAAGTCAAAACTTGTGATGCTGTAATTTATTCCATCTCTGAATCCCCCTGCAACTGATACCATCTATTCACTTGTTTGAGAGTGAGAAGAATGCCATTGTATCACTAGGTAGGGTCTAAGTTTCCTCCTTACGTGTCCAGGTCTACTAAACTGAAACACGATAGAATGTAGAGGACAGAAAATTGGAGGCTGGCTTAAACATATATAAATGGAATGGGATGAGAAAGATTTCACTGCCGATTTGCTGCAAGAAGGCATCTCTGCATTTTCTTCTCGTTCTTCTTAATTCAATGAGTTCGACTCTCACTGGCTGTTTTTTTAAAAAATCTTTTGCATTCCTGAGTTGGAAATATTTTATGGGGGAGGAATTACAAATCTAAGGACTTCCAAAGCGATGTTGATGCTTCCCTCTTACGTTTCTTGACCCCATTTCTTTTATCACTCAGAGGCTGGATTTAGACACTTCAGGTTACAATTGGGTAATTGGGGATGCAATATGTTGGGGAATACAGTCTTCATTATATTGGGTAAATCAAATCATCATCCTCATAGGATTGATTTCCTTTAGGATAACAACTATTCTTTCCACAGGTGCCTATGAAAGATCTAATGCTTCTCTGTTCCAGACAGCTAGCAATGAAGGAAAATTCATTAAGAAAGGTAGATTCTTTTTTTTTAATGCCTTCCTTGTTCTGGCTCTTTTACTATCTTTCTTTCAATCTCTTCCATGACAGTGTTTTAATGGTATACATTAAAAGAGAAAATATTTTAGTTTTGTAAAGTCTGTTTTGGTGTATACTGTATTAGTTAAGTTCTTTGAGGCCTGTACAACATTTGGGTAATTAAAAATTCCTGTTCTAGTCCGGTCTATTGTTGGAATGCATTACTGCACTGCCCTGTTCTAAGCACCTTCAAGCATGGGTAAATCACTGAATTCACTCTTCTCTACTCTTGGCCTGCTCTCCATTGCCTCACTTAGTGTATTCCAGTGCAGCATATCCCACTAGCCTTCTTCCTCATCTGCTGATTTATTTTATTTCTTTATTTATCAAATTTATATGGCCAGCCACCTCCACAAAGTTTCTTCCATTCAATTCAATTCAATTCAATTTACTTTATTTGTATGCCGCCCTTTTCCCTGAGGGGATTCAGGGCGGCTCACAGTTCAAAGGGGGGGGGGGGAACAGACAAGTTACAAACATGAAAACCATACACTGTTAAAAAAGCACAACAGTCATACCATTCGAGTGGGGTTGCAAGTCTTTTAGCCCCAGGCCTGTCGGAACAACCAGGTTTTAAGGGCTATGCGGAAGGTCTGGAGGGTTCCATGCATCTGTCCTTGTCTCAATTTTCCCACCACTTTCTCTCCATTTTATCAGCTACTGCCGTCCAAAACTCAATCCCACTACCCTAATTTTCCTAGAGCTTTCAGTCCATTCAGCTACTGCTGCAGTCAATAACCCAAGACAACATAGCCCACTGATCCCCTTGCTCCCTGACCTTCTGAGCATTTTTTCATTTCCTCTCTCCCTGCCCAATTTTGGCTACCGGCCTCCTTGGCTTTTTCCATAACCCTAACTCTATTAAACCATTTATGTCTGGATCAGAAAAGCCATGCATTTTACACTTCTACACCTCTCTATTCACTACTGGACAGAATATACATCAGGTTGTATATGAGTTTTTTTTCTTAGTTCCCATGCTGTAAGAGACCTTGCCACTGGGATTGTTCTGGATTAAAAGGTGGGAGACAAATGAAAATTAAAAATAGCTTTTTAAAAAACTGCTTCGGGGAATCTACATCTTTCTTTTTCCCATGAATTTCTTGTCATATATATAAAGGAGAAGAAAGCTAGAATGAATGCTGTACAGGAGACTTCTACTGATCTTGTAGCCTCCAGATGTATTGGATTACAGTTCTTAAAGTTATAAACTATCATATCTATACTGGCTTGGAGTTATAAGAAGGTAGGCTACCAGGTTAAGTGTAATACAGCTGTGTGCCCTGAGCACTTTGTGTGTGTAATGGTGATGGATTTTCAAGGAGACCTTTTTGTGGTCCTCATGGTGGACTGTCAAAACCCTGCATACAGGAAGTTCCAAGTTCAGTTTGTAGCACCTCCAACTTGGGGTAGAAAAATATAATTCTAGTGCCTAAAAGACATGGCTAGATAGATCAAAAGTCTGATAAAGTATACTACCGCTGGAATATATGTTGTAGTAAGACTTTTCTAATCAATGATGACTTTTTTTCACAGAACCAAATCTATATTGCTCAATGATTGAAACAGCCATCCCACTGCAGAAAACATCTGCAAGCATCCCTTCCTTGCAGTCATATTATTCTCCTCCTTTAAACCACTTAAGTCCCAATGGACATCCTGGTCCACCTTTTCAAATGACAGAGTCCGTTAAGCAGGATGGGGTTCTGCCATCTTGCTGGCATTCCTCTGTTTCACCTCTAAATGTTTTGCTGCAACAAAGAAACGTGGGTGATACGTTGCATCCTACAGTGCAGAATGTTAGCTCTCCATGTCTTGGACAGGAGAAGAGTCTGAACTGGGCCAATCAGAAAGAGGGGAACATTTATCAAGGATTCTTTGGAATAATGAATGATCATGAGTCAACAATGTCATCATCATCACCTTCACCATCAGTGTCTCAGCAAGAAATTCGGAATGTCCCCAGCACTGTTGACAGCCAGTCTATTCATGTAGAAAATGCTGCAGTGTCCAGTGACATTAGCATGGAAATGGAAGACTCCAGATGCTCAGATGTTAACTTAGAAAAGTCATCTTTCGTTCAAGCTTTAAATCCAAGCAACCACAGGAAGAAAATCCAACCATTGTTCCCTCCTGCCACATCAACAGTAACCACTTCTAGCTTATCTTTGACCTCTATGTCCAATATTTTTGAGACACAAAATTTTCATTATTTGGCTAGCCTTAATGATTCAGGATTGGCCAGCAATCCAAACACCATAAATATATCAAATTTTGATACTTACAGCACCCAAGATGATGAGTTCCTAAATTCCATCGGAAGTAATTTTGATAGCATACTTTAAACAGTTATGACAGTCCCTGAAAAAGTGACCACCCATCCTTGAATTTCTTTTTTTAATACTTGTATTAAATTTATCTAAGTATAAAAGACAAATGAAAGTGGGAAAAGAGGGAAGGGAAAAGAAAAAAGTATTTAACTTTTTTTTCAAGCACAAAATCCAGAAGTTTCCAAGTAAAAACAAACTTGGATATGTTCCTTTCTTTGATTAGACAAGTCAATTTAGCCATCTCTGCTGATTTCATCAGTTTTTCCAGCCATTTATCCAATATAATTAAACTATCTTTCCATTTATGTGCATAAAGGATTCTTGCTGCTATCAACATACATAACAGGAAGATTCCAGAATTTTTTTCAAGTTTTTTGTCCATTAAGCCCAAAAGAAAAATCTTTGGTTTAATTTTTATTTTCATTTTAACTATCTTCTGAATTAAAATATAAATTTTACTCCAATACTTCTTTGCTTTATCACAAGTCCCCTAAATATGGTAAAATGTCCCTTCTTTGCATTTACATTTCTGATATACTTTTGAAATATCTTTCTATATCTTTAACAATTTATTCGGTGTTAAACACAAATAGTACCTCATTTTATAAAATTTATTAAATTAAATTAATTATAATTTAATGTAAATTTTAAACCATTTGTCCATATGTTTTCCCACTGTTCAAGCAAGCACTATATTGTACCCAAAATTCTTTTCCCATTAAATCATGCAATACATTACATCTTCATTCTCCAAATTTAATTTCAGTGGCGATTTATAGAATTTGGCAATAACATGTTCATCCTTAACACACAGTACAATTTCAAATTCAGTTTTTAAAATGTCAAACACATAGCTTTAAAAATCTAATGTAAACCTTTCTTTCAGTTCTAAATATGTAAATCATTGACAGACACATCCTTCTGACTCCCACTCTTTTTGTGATTTAAGGGTAGGCTCACTTTGATTAAAAAGTATTATTTGACCATGTCCACCAGTCTGGCCTCACCTTAGTTTTTTTTTTTTTTTCTGAAAAAAACTTCCTGGGATGATGCCCAAAGAGGTACCTTTGTAGAGAAACTTGTTTTAGATTTGTTCCAAATCCTTGGATCTAGCATGTCTAACAAAGTAATTCTTGAAATCAACATTTTAACTGATGTCATAAGTAGGTATGCCATCCATCTCTTAGTTCATGGCTCTTTAATTCAAATAATCTCTTCTTTTGAAGAGTCACCCACTCTTTCATCCAAACGCATTCAAGCAGGCATCAAAGTATAGTTTCAAATCTGGTAAACTCAAACTTCCTCTTTCTTGAGTATTTTGCAGTAGTTTATATCTAATTCTTGGTCTTTTTCCTTGCCATATAAATTTAGAAATGCCCTTCTGCCATAGTTTAAATGGAGTATTGGTTGTCAGTATCAATAAAATCTGAAATAAAAATAACATCTCTTGTAAAATCTTCATCTTAATTAAAAGAGATTCTACCCAACATGGATAACTGCAAACTACCCCATCTTAATAGATCTTTTTTTATATCATTCCACACAGGTGCAAAATTGCTTTGAAACAATTTAGATTTGTCAATTCAACTCCAAGATATTTAACCCTTTTCTTCACCTTGAAACCTGATTTTCTTGTCAATATTTATAATATTGAAAAGTCACATTCTTAACATGTGTTGCTTTCTGTTCGTTTCTTTTGAAACCCACTAAAACTCCAAAGTAATTTAATTTCTTCATCAAGAATTATATACCAATTTTTGAGTCTTACAGAAATAGCAATAGGAATAAGTTGCAATGGGACTTATTTCCAAGAAAAAAATTAATGGGTTTGCAAGGCTGGTTAGCCGTTTCTCTTATATGAAACATCTCTGATATGAAATATAGTTAAATTCATTTATCCAGTGTAACCTTTCTGTGTTTTTTTAACTTCTTTGCATTCCCAAAATTGATTTAAGCACTGATGTTTAGACCACAGTTTTATATGTTTTGTTTGCATTTAGGCAAATCTGTATTCCAGTAATGGTAATGACTATGTCATTGTGAATATTTTTTTTTAGATACAGCCTTAAAAAGTATTGAAATAATTTTTAGAATTGAAATTTTCAGAATTCTCACATTGAGGAAAATACTTATAGCTAATGTGGAGTGCTATTTTTCAATATATGTTTGAATTAATCAATATTGAAAATATACAAGTGACCAAACTTTTTCTCACTCCTTCCAATTTTCTTTGCAATGTGAGAATTTTTTTTTCCTTTATGAAGTGTTTATAAAATGAACTGAATTAGTATATCTTTGCACTCATCACAATCTTCAGGCATAAAATATCTTCTTTGTTTTAATGATATTTCTAAAGCAATTTTCCCATCCTATAGTGCTCTAGATATAGTCCCATAATCCCCACTTAGCTATTCTGATGCAGTTTATAATCCAGAACATTGCACAGACATCTGGTATAGACAGAAGTTGCAAAAACAAGGATGGATTATCATTGAACATTATATTCAGATGCATGTACAAAATACATATATGCTTTATAATTTATGAATGGCACCAATGTGCTTTTTCCATTGCTTTAAAATACATGAAGCATAATTGGACTTGAGTTATGATTTTGTTCCTTTATGATATAAATAATAATTTTCTGAGGTAAATTGATTGTGTTTGGCATACAAATAGACATATTGAAATAGAAATAATTGACAACATACTGCAGCTAATCAAAACCAATATATCTGAGCTCAAATAAAATAGGAATCAAGTTGATTGCCCAGTGTTGTCAATTGCTCTACAGTGATAACAAGGCACTGGATTGGATATTGGATCTCTGCAACAAAGAACATTCGTTCCCTTACTCTAGTGCTAGGAATAGGCCTTGATCATATAGGGCAGTGATGGCGAACCTTTTTCTTTCAGCGTGCCAAAATTGGACACATGCATGCGTGCTATTGTGCACGCATGCATGCCCACTCAATTTCCCCACCCACCTGCCCATGCACATGACAGCCCCTGGCGCATGCATGTGCGGCCTCTCCCCAGGCTCCGGAGGCTTTCCTGAAGCCTGGGGAGGGTGAAACGGTCTCCCCTGGAGGCCCTCCAGAAGCCAGAAATGGATTATTTCCAATCTTCCGGTTGGCCCATTGGGGCCGTTTTTCGCCCTCCCCAGGCTTCAGGAAAGCCCCCTGGAGGCTTTCCTAAAGCGCCAGAGCTGACAGCTGGCATGCCATCAAATATGGCTCCATGTACCACCTGTGGCATGCGTGCCATAGGTTCGCCATCACGGATATAGGCAATGCCGAGACTAAGCTTGTGGGTCCAGCATAGCTGAGAATGAGAAACATTTTTTCTTTGAATACAGTAATTTTATCCAAAAAAATTTTCAAGCAGAGGTGTGATGGATAACTTTAAGTAGTGTGGCCCCATTTGTTCAAGATGAGATCTTTGTCCAGTGTTATGGTGATCCAAGTAGCATTTCATTTCATGTCAGATTCAGCTGACTGTTTCACACAAAGCAGCTGATAAAAATTCTGGGCTTTTAGTAATATTAAAAAGGTAACATAATGGTTAAAATATCGAACTCTGAAGACCCAGATTTATGGCCACCCACAACTATAGAAGTTTGCAGAGTTACGTCCATCATGGTCTCTAAACCCAGAATTCAAGAAGGGAATTTTGTGCATAGTCTTCCAGAAAAGGTAGGGCATAAATTTTACAAATCAACAACTGAACAAGAATTTGTATCCATTTAGTCAGATCATCAATCTAAATAATGTTTGTGTAATTTAAAGTTTAAATTTCTCATGCTAATAATTCTCTGTTAAAGTTGAAAATGTAGGGCAATTTCTTTTTGTCTTAAAAATGTAAATAAATAAAGAAGTTTTGCCAAAAAGAGTTGGTTGATTATTTTATTATTGTCCTTAATCTAAACCTCCACTGAGCTCTAATCGTGAAAGCAAATGCTACCTGCTAACAACTTCCTAAACATCTGGAGTTTCCAAAACTGTTTGGAGGGATCAAAGATGATTCAGGATAACATAGGCAGGAGAAGAATGTATAAAATTGCAAGGGAAGGAGGGAGAGTCAGTGAAATTATAATCCCTTCCATGTGTGGAAAGCCTCTGGGCCAAAACAGCCTATTTGCATTCATTATTTCTTATTTTTCTACTAATACAACCAAAATAGCTTTTAAAAGAGCATCATCAATCAACACAATCAAAATTTATTTTAGAACTTAAGAAAAAAGGAAATGTAATAGCCAGCAACAAAGTTTATTGAAGATGATTAGCTCAATGTAATTACTGTCAATTATTTAAAGTAGATCACACCAGAAAGCCAAAGGAATGCAGACCAATATAACATTTATTGAGATAATAATAGAACCTTGCAAGTTTAAATGTATTTCCCTTCTCCTCACTTCCTTTATGAGAATTAGGAAAAGTCTTAGACTTAGACGTTTTCTTGGATTACAGATCTGCCCCGACTCAGATTTCTTTCATTTAAGTCTTGTCTTGGTAACATCTCTTCCTTATGTACCTCAAGGCCATTCCATCCTTCAATTACAATTATTCAATATCAAAAGCTTGCAGGAATATAAAGTAAATAAAAATAAAAATGATCTGGATGGAAAATAGATTTGTTCAGAAGGCAATCTACAATTTAAGAGTATAGATTCTTTTTTCAAGTGTTGTAATATAGATATTACTAGTTAGGCTTTGGTGGAATTACTACTTGTCTGAAAACAAACGATGAGAAACTGAACTGAACCAATGGCTGTATTTCTTTGGTGGGAGAAGGAAGATCAATTATTTTCATTAAGGGAACCTTCCTGATACATTTATCCTGTCGTGTTCAGTTATCTGGCTGGGGATAAGGGAACTGTTGGTCAACGTAGCAGTAGCACCAAGAAGGAGAAAATTATAGGGAATGAAGAAATGAAAGTGAGGCCTTTATTGCAGAATTGCTAGGTGAGTCTCAGAATGTCGTAAAAGAATCATGTGATTATTTCTTATGTTTGTAAGTTACTATTCTTGTTTTCACAAAACATCTCTTCTGGGGTGATAGACTTGCACAGTGCCATTCGGCTGATAGATGACAATTTCTTTATCATCCATCCATCTATTAAAATAAATTTCTTTATCATCCATTCATCTATTTCCTTTCAAAAACCTTTCCTTACCGTTCAAGTAGTAACCAAGATCATGTTAAATTTCTTTGTCATGCAACCATTGCTTTGTTTATCCCATTTTATAGGGCTGAGTAATAAGTTATGGGTCTGCTGGTTAGTCATAGGGCATTTCCCCTTCATTTACACCCCTCCTTGAGTAGATGGGCAAGCATCAGTATAAAATTTATTTGCCCAGCTGACCAACCCTATTCTTCCGCCCTCAGATCTGCTTTGAGTCAATGATGAATGGCAGTGTCCTGAATCACAAATAGAATCACAAATAGCATAACAGAGTTGGAAGGAATCTTGGAGGTCTTCAAGCCCTGATTATATATGAACATCATGATAAACAAAATGATTGGTTGAGTCCTCTAGTTTTGTTTCCTTTTCCAACATATCACCAGCCACTGAGAAAAACATCTCCCAATTAACACAATAGCAATAGCAATAGCAGTTAGACTTATATACCGCTTCATAGGGCTTTCAACCCTCTCTAAGCGGTTTACAGAGTCAGCATATCGCCCCCACAGTCTGGGTCCTCATTTCACCCACCTCGGAAGGATGGAAGGCTGAGTTAACCTTGAGCCGGTGAGATTAGAACCGCTGAGCTGCAGATAACAGTCAGCTGTAGTGGCCTTCAGTACTGCACCCTAACCACTGCACCACCTCGGCTCCCTACACCACAATCCAGCTGTAATTGTGCAATTCTGATTGGCCAAACTAAGTGGAGGACAGTGAATTGTTTCTTTAGTGAGTATAAAGCAAACGATCAGATGCCACGCAGGAGTTTTTAAGATATGCCTTAACATTTATCTACTGTGGGATGAAAAGAGTCAACAGAATCTATAATGATTATAATTTCCAGTGTGGCTAAAGAGAAAAGAGAGGGTAACAAAAGAGGGAGAGAAAAACTAGTTTGAAAATCCCAGGAAGACAAGCTATCCTAAAAATAAATAAATGTAGAACCAGTTGCCAGAGGTCACTAAGAAGTTATTTTCCTCTTCCCTGAAAGAGAAAAATAATATTGCATCAGAATATTGCTGCTGGTCTCTCAAGGAAGATGAAGCAGCCAAGGAGAGCTTTTGAACAGTCTCTGCTTTGACAGACAGCCTGTATATTTAATTCCTGCCTCCTCACATAATTTATTTCACCTAGCATGGTGATTCTGAAAATGGGTAAATTGATGAAATAGATGTGCAATTGAGTGACTCCAGAACAACAGGGGAGTATTGGACCTGGATGAAGAGTGACTGTATTGAGTTTGAGGAACTCCTAGCTTGCATTCATTTCCACTTCAAGCCACTGCTAAATATCTCAGGTGTCACCACTTAAGCCAAAATTATAGAAATATTTGTGAAGCTGCATACAGAGAAGCTGTCTTGAATCCCCTCCACATGGAGCAAATAAATGATTTACAGATAAATCTTCACTGGTTACAGTTTTGGAAAAACCAGGCAAGGAAGTCAGATATATAGACCAGAATGCACAAAATTCATTTACAAACCATTCAAGGTTACCATGGCACTGAAAAAAGGTGATTTCTGACCATTTTCACACTTACAACATCCCCATGGTCAAAATTCTGACACTTGGGAAATGGTTCATATTTAGGATGATGACGATGACAGTGTCCCGGGGTCATATGACTCCCTTTTGTACTCTTCTGACCAGCAAAGTCAATGGGGAACATAGTTTCAGTTAACAACCGTATACAAACTTAAAAACTGCAGTGATTCACTATGTCAAGAACAGACATAAAAAGGAACAAAGCACACTTAACAACTGTCTCATTTAGCAACAGAAATTTGGGGATCAGTTGTGGTCAAAGACTGCCTGTATATTTTCTCAGTCTGAGTTCTCACTTTAAGAGGTGAAAAATAATTCAAGATCTTGTGAAGGCTTTAAAATATAGATGTTCCCTTTTTCTGTAAGAGTTCAAAAATTGTCCATTGAAAAGTGTCTTCCACTTCTGTTTAAGGCTTTGGTTGGTACCAGGACAGCAAAATTGGGGGGGGGGGGAGGCAGAGAAGGCTAACTGTGGATTAGAGGTTCTGAAGTGCGTTTGCATCAGCTTCAATCACCTACTAAACACCCTAGTTCACACCTCCTCCTGGAGAGTTTGCTTCTCACCAAATAGGTATAATGGCTTATATTATAAAATGAAATTCAATGGTGAAAAGAGTAAGGTTCTACATTTAGGCAAGAAAAACTAAATGCACAGGTACAGTTTAGGTGGTACCTGGCTTAATAGTGGTGACTGTGAGAGGGATCTTGGAGTTCTAGTGGACAATCACTTAAATATGAGCCAACAATGTGCAGCAGCTGCCAAAAAAGCCAACACAGTTCTAGGCTGCATAAATAGAGGGATAGAATCAAGATCACATGAAGTGTTAATACCACTTGATAATCCCTTGGTAAGGCCACACTTGGAATACTGCATTCAGTTTTGGTCACCACGATGTAGAAAAGATGTGGAGAATCTAGAAAGAGTGCAGAGAAGAGCACAAAGATGACTAGGGGACTGGAAACTAAAATATATAAAGAACGGTTGCAGGAACTGGATATGTCTAATTTAATGAAAAGAAGGACTAGGGGAGATGATAGCAGTGTTCCAATATCTCAGGAACAGCCACAAAGAAGAGAGAGTCAAGCTATTCTCCAAAGCATCTGAGGGTAGGACAAGAAGCAATGGGTGGAAACTAATGAAGGAGAGAAGCAACTTAGAACTAAGGAGAAATTTCCTGATTGTTAAAACAATCAGTGGAACAACTTGCCTTCAGAAATTGTAAATGCTCCAGTACTGGAAGTTTTTAAGAAGATGTTGGATAACCATTTGTCTGAAGTGGTGTAGGGTTTCCTGCCTCAGCAGGGGTTGGACTAGAAAACCTCCAAGGTCCCTTCCAATTCTGTTATTCTATTCTATTCTAGTGTTTATACCACCTGAGGTAGCCTCTGGGCGGTGTTTAAAATAGGGGAAATAGGGAGACTACAGGTAGTCTCAATTTACAACAGTTCATTTAGTGACCATTCAAAGTTATAACTGCACTGAAGAAGTGACTTATGACCGTTTTTCACACTTACGACCATTGCAGCATCCTCATGGCCACATGATCAAAATTCAGACTTGTGGCAATTGACTCACATTTATGGTGGTTGCAGTGTCCTGAGGTCATGGAATCAACTTTTGCAAATTTCTGACAAAGTCAATGGGGAAACCAGGTTCACTTAACAACTCTCATGCTAATTTAATACCTGCAGTGATTCACTTAACAATGGTGGCCAGAAAGTTTGTAAAATAAGGCAAAATTCACTTTAAAAATGTCTCACTTTACAGAAAACTTGGGCTCAATTGTGATCGTAAGTGGAGAACTACCTGTCTTTAAAATTGTTCAGCTTAGATTTAGAGCATCTTAAGTTTGATTCACTTGCAGGCTGAGGACAAGATGAAGGCTATGTTGTGGTGGGGATGGTGAGGGGCACTGCAGTTGTTAAGGAATGTTAATACCATGGTTAAATTCAGGTGGGGAAAAAGTCTCTTAGAATTGCAAGAGATCATTTAGCTCATCAGGTGTAACCCACTGCCCAGTTCAATATACATTTGCCTGGGAAAAGCAGCCATTCAAAATCACACCAGTCTTAAAGAGCCAAAGACCTTCCCCTGATCTGCAAGTGCATCAAAAGAAATCTTGGAGCTGAATTGGGAGTGCATTTAAGTAGGACCATAGTGGAGAATGGGGTAATCATTGTCCTTCTGGACTCTAAGGGACCTATAATTTTCTTTGTATGTGTGCCTATTTTTGATATATACAGTCCATCTTCTTTTCTTATGCTGTCAGACCAGATTGCTATGGGTCTTATGACACCTCCTGCCCTCATGTAGGAGGTTTTATATGACGTCCACCCACTCAATCCCTTGTGTGTAGGTGTGGGGGTGGGGTGGGGGGAATTTCTCTGTTTTTACACAGCATAAACCAGGTGGGGGAAGATGAAGTCACATAAAACCTCCACTATAAGGGCAGGATGTCATTCTCAAGCTGTAGTAGTATATAAAAGCTTGAGCCTTTTAATAAAACTTGCTAGTGTGAAAAGGTTTTAGGCTGATTTTAGGCTGTCTTTTCTTACAATACCTATAGGTGGTAATTATCCTTGTAACAGAGAACAGATCTAGAGTGACATCTACAGGTTCTTTTCACATCCTATACAGCTACAGTCCACTATTTTTAAATTAGATACTGTGCAATAACTGGTTTTTGTTAGGTGTGTATAAATGAGAATCCTCAAGCAAATATTGCAACATTCATTTTGCTGGTCTGTAACTATGATCACAAAAGCATATATTCAAATAAATGTGTCCTCAATCTCCTGGATAAAAAGTTCTTCAGATGCCTACCAAGTGGTAAAGAACAAGAAAATTTGGATTTACCATGAGGTGAGACAATGTTCAGAATCTTCATCACAGCAATCCCTTTACTGGGTCATTTGAAAACTACAAAAGCATTTGTTGAGTTTCTACAACTTTCTTATTAAGCTTATTAAATCATGGTGAAGGCATGTATCCTAACAGAAAGCATAGGAATGGTGACGCACAAGTACTACTTAGAGGAAATAAAAAGAATTGATCTATGCTTGGCAAATAAATATCTCTCTAACCAGATATCTTGGCCCATAGTGGACATGTATTTCCTGTCAAAAGTATATAGTACATCACGATGACTAATTTTCTCTCAATCACGTTGCTTCTAGATAATGGACATTGTTGGGAGGGTCCAATTGGAGCTACACCACTAGTTTTCTGTCTTTGCTGAAAGTTGAAACACCCAGGTAATCAGTGGCTGGAGGAAGTGTCAAATCCATAATAAAAGATGAGCTTCATAGAACTTAATTTCTACTGAGGGATTTTTGGAAGCAGAAACAGGAACTGTATAGTACAGTATTATCATCTTAACCCAACATTTTTAATTATGGAACAGTTCGAAAAAGATGAGCGATTTGAACAAGTTGATTTGTGGATTTTATTCTTATTGCCTTCTTTGGTTTTTTGTTTTGTTGTGTTTTAGATACCTCCTCAAAACTGAAATTAAAGCAAGGGAAGAAGTATAACAATTTCCTGGTTTTAAAAAATCATGGAGAGATTATTTAGCTTGGTTATTTTGTTTTAATGGTTGTCATATTGTTTTGAACAATAAGTTATTGGTTCCACACTGCCTAATGGTAAGAAATATGTGTAGCTGTATATTGAAATCGCGGGTGTGTTGTGTGTAATAAGAAGCTAAAATGTGGGGGAGGGCGGTTCTTTCCATCCATGCAAAACTCTATTTTTCTCTACTGACATTTCATCCTACACAATTTCCCCCCCCCCCATCTTTCTTCAGAATAAACTATAGCAGTTTCAACATGCAGACTAGCAGTTAGCCAGGTAAATTTTTACACTAAATTGACCAGAAGCCAATTATTTTTTTATTTTCATTTCTCTATATTTGTATTTAATTTTTCATCATAAACTCAGCATCTTCAAATGTAGCTAGTTAAAATTATTCCCAATTCTGTAATTAGTTCCTACTCTTTATTTCTGAAGAACAAACAATGCTAGGGATTTGAACCGCCGACCTTTCTAATCAACAAGCTCAGCGTCTTTAGCCAGAGCCACTTATTTAACTATATTGTTTTAAAAATAAATTTACCTTTAGGTTTCCTTATGTGCAAGACTGCATAAAACTGAACCACTACTCGTCATTATTCAAGATTGCCATAAGATATACAGGTAGTCCTCAACTTATGACCACAACTGAGCCCAACATTTATATTGCTAAGTGAGAACATTTGTTCAGTTTTGACCCTTTTTACAACTTTTCTTTCCACGTTTGTTAAGTGAATCACTGTGGTTGTTAAATCGGTGAAATGTATTGCATGACCCCAGGACAGTGCAACCGTTATAAATGTGAGTTGGTTGTCAAGCAACTGAATGTACATCACATGACCATGGGGATGCTGCAATGGTCATAAGTATGAAAAATGATCATAAGATACTTTGTAACTTTGAACGGTCGCCAAATGAACTGTTGTAAGCCAAGGACTATCTGTATTAAGTAGGGCAATGCACTGCTTCACCTTTGAAAATAAAATACAGGTATCTCTCCACTTACGATGACAATTGAGCCCAAAAGTTAAGGCAAACAAGGTGCTAAGTGAATCATTGCAGTTGTTAAGTTGGTAACACGGTTGTTAAGTGAGTCTGACTTCCTCATAGACTTCACTTGTCAGAAGGTGGCAAAAGGAAGCACACGGGGCACAGGACACTGCAACCATCCTATGAGTCTGTTGCTAAGTGGTCTAATATTGATCACGTGACCATGGGGATGATGTAATGGTTATAAGTGTGAAACACGGTCATAAGCCACTTTTTTCAGTGCCGTTGTAACTGAACGTTCACTAAATGGACTGTTGTAAATTGAGGACTACCTATTGTGTTTCAGTGAGCAACTTTTTAAACAAAATCTGCATTTTTTTTTCAAGATTGCAACTCTGCTCTGGGACATAGTTTACAAAAAGGTAGCTTAAAGGAGTTAAGAGGTGATGTGTGCAGGCCCTAGTACGGTCTTAAATTGGGGACAAATGATATACTGCCCAGATAAAAATCCATGAACTAAGATTTTGCTTTACAGGCCATTTTTAAGTTTCTTTTTAATTTGGTGAATTTTCAAGCCTTGATTTATATTGCTTATTTGCATCTAATGAATATGTGCGTACATCTCAAAAACACAAGAGCAAACAAAGTTTTGAAAGAAAAACAATTTATTTTCTTATAAAAGTTCTGGACATTTTTAGTTCAAAATCTTGACTTCATACCAGAACTTTCTTTGTACTTGACATGATCTAGGGGCTGGGGGGGGGGGGGGGGAGCTGTAACCTTAACAATGTTTGCATCGCTCCTTGAAAACCTCAAAGAAGTCTTAGAGGAACTGGTTCCTCCTCCTTTTAGCATAATACTGAAACAGGTAAATACATCTTCCTTTAGGGGATATATTTTTAAAAGCCTGTGTCCATATTGGCATATGAATGCATGCATGTGAGCAATCCCATGCATCATTGGAAGAACAGTGAATCCCATTTACTCAGAGATAAGTTGCTCTGAATGCTATCAGGCTTACTATTTCCTCTAACGATGCACAGGGACACATTCCCAGGAACAACAGCCATACATCTTGAGTATATGCTGATGGCTCGGCAACTTCGCACATTTCAGTATTCAACAGTGCTCAACCACAAGAATTATTAGGATTCTCTAAAAGGTATCTTATGGCTTTTTTTTCTGGTTTGGATCCAGAATTATGCATAAATACCGTATTTCCCCCAAAATAAGACAGAGTCTTGTTTTCTTTTGACCCCCGAATAAGCGTTTGGCCTTATTTTCGGGGAGATCTTATTATTTTTGAGGTGCAGCAGGCGGCGAGCCAGGTCACCTCATGGGGGGGAGGGTTTATTTTAGCGCATGCACTCAAAAGCCCAATTGGGCTTATTACCCAGGGAGGGCTTATTTTCAGGGAAACAGGATAGTATTCCTAAATTTTACTATATTCAATGAGCTGCTTTCTTCTATGTATTGCTCTATTGATAGTATAAGAGAAGCAGATGACATAGCTAAATTTACCAAAATGATTCCAATGGTTTATATATGTTAGCCTTGCCCAACTGGCCTCTCTTTAGATGAGTGGGAATAAACCTTCCAAATTCCAGCAACAATAATGGTGCTGACTGGAAATTCTAGTCAAATTGTTCCACACATCTGGAAAGCCCTTAGCAAGAGAGGGCTGCTTTAAGACATGCAAGTACAAGGAAATACGGAATTGAACTGAACTGAACAAATACTGCTAGACAAAATGCGCTTTCTTCTTTTTTTCTGGTAAAAAGATTTTAAATGTGCTTGTTGAGAGTTATCATGCAAAAACATTACTTTTTGGTTTTTTACTCTTCCCCTTTGCACAGGAATTCAAAATTATTCTCTCTTTGAGAATCTGTATCCATTCTGTATAGGTACCAATTTATATTGTATTGGTAATGAGGTCAAAATAAAATGCATTATTTCTAAAATGTGTAAATCAATTTGAGGCATTTTTAAAAATTAAAAGAGTGGTTCCCTTTGCGGCTAGGAGGCCCAGTTAGAGGATGGGGGTAAGGAAACTGGACCTTGAACAAGCAGTGGGGCCAGTGCGAGCGACAGGCCAGCATCCACGTATGCAAGTGCCCGCCAGCCCGCCATTTATACACTCCAGCCAGCCACTCATGGAGGCCCAATTCCCAATAGACCATGGCCCGGTAGTGAGGCCCAGCCCAACGGTTAGGAACCCCTGAATTAAAAACAAATCAATCTTGAGCAGATCAACATGATCTAAACTGGTTTACAAAAATCTAGGAAAGTCAATTCAGCTAGCCTATAAAATATTGTCCACAGTGCTCTAAATCCTGCTATGGATAAGTCTCTCCCCTCTCTTGAAAATCAAAATTACTTCTTAATCATCTAGAGCTGGTGGCCAGTCAACATCCACGGACTGCAGAAAAAAAGAAAGAAAAATAATTGAATCATAGCTAACACATTTGTTTGCAGAATATTTAACCTCAGATAATGTTTTCAATACAAATGATGAAACTTGGTTTCCCAAGTATGAGACAGTGATTTCCAACATGAAAGTGCCAAGAACTCCATCAAGTGTAGTTAATACACTGTATGTTCCCAGACTGGGGAAAGCTGAGGGGACAATATACTTTAAGTTAACATCTTTTAAAAATTTGGATGAAAAGCCATTTAAAACCAACTTGGGGTATGATCTGGTTGTTATGCTCTAATCTGGAGTTTAAACTAAAATTTAAATCCCAGTGAGCTTCTACAGTTCTCCACACACAAAACTAAATTTGCATTCTCTCACTCTAACAGGAAAAGTTTTGAAGAGAGATGAGATGCTGTAGGAAAGGACACAGATTGCAGAGATTAGATTAAAGTCAGGTTGCCAGATCTGAAACAAATCCCCTGTGATTTGTCTCTTAATTTCCTACTGGAAAGACCAATGGTGGCAGTCCCATCCTTCTGTCTACAGAGACATACAAAAGAGAGTACTCACTTGTACATCCAGCTCCAAGATGTCTGCAGTTGTCTTCAACAGGAAACCAATATTGGGTTTAGTTCTTCCAAAATCTCCATGTACAAATTCTTTAACATAACTAACAAATTGCCGATAAGGAAATGAGAAAGATATGCTTGTTAGACTAGATTTTAAAATAAGACTTCAGAATATGTACTTCTCCCTTTCTTTCTCATTCTTTCTCAAACACACTGCTAGAGGTAAATGACAGGATATAGCAAAATTGGGGGGGTTGGGTTTAGAAGAGAGCATGCCACCTTTTGGGGGAGGGGGGATAGAGAAAAAAGATAAAATGTAACATGAGTCATTCACTCTCCACACATTTTCCTGCTCCAAGAAAAACTATACTTGAAGATTTATGTTCATTCTTCCAAATTTAATACTATCATTTTATTGAAGTGCTCAGTACCGAATTCCTGACCACTGAGGCGCTTCAGTTCAGAAAGGATACGTCCCTGCTTGTGTCTTTAAGTGAAGACGGAAATGATGCTCGTCTATGTACTCTGATTGCATGTTGTGGATGACGCGAATCCTGACAGCTAATGGCCGCCGATGAAGTACACGTAATGGAGTTTTTTGATCAAGCTTTAAGTCCTGGTCAAGAATTTCAGATAAAAAATAACATTACATACATCACAAACCCATGAGATAGAAAATCCAAATATCCATTCAGACATCTTCCCCAGTATAGTATAGGTTCTCCTGCTTGAGCAGGGGACTAAACTAGAAGACCTCTAACAACCCTTCTATTCTATTCTATTCTATTCTATTCTATTCTCTATTCCACTCCATTCTGTTCTGTTCTGGGAAACCAGCTCCAGGTTACCACACACAGTGATAACAAAGTAACCTTGACAAACCAATAATGAGGATGAGAACATGGCAAATCCTTTGGAGGATAGTATGAAGATTCAAGAAAATGTTGATAAACTGGAAAATAGGGACTTCTACAAATTCACATTAGGTTGAGAAAAATGAAAGACATGGATGGGTACAGGCCATGGAGAAAATATACTAGGAAACAGTGCATGAGAAAACGTTCTGCATATTATCTTGGTGAATCAGAAGCTGAACACAAGCCAACTGTGTGATTTAGCTGAAAAAAAGCAAATAAAACTCTAGATCCGTGATGGCCAACCTATGGCACGCATGCCACAGGTTGACATGTGGAGCCCTCTCTGTGGACATGCGAGCTGTCACCTAGCTCAGCTTCACCGCGCATGTGTGCGCACCTCCCACCAGCCAATTAATTTTTGGGTGTCTGCTGCAAATGTGGGAGATGCATGCGCAGGCATGGGGGGAGGGGGGAGGAGCACAGGCATGTATGACGCAAATTACATTAATTCTGTGGTTTTCCACTAAAAAAAGATGCAATAATTTTCGTCTTGAATTTGATGAAAGCTAAATAAAATGGGGCTTGTAAAAATCTTTGTACGGGATTTAAAAACGAGCAAACAAATGATAAATACCACCCCAGACATGCAACCTTCATAGAGTCTAGGAACATAATGTCTTCCTTTTGGATCACTTTCTTTGTCCATATTAAGGCACTGTAGGACTTCGTCTTCTCTTCTTCCCCTTCTTTCATATGTACAATGGCCTCTCTGAAAGGAAAACAAACAACAAATGAGAACAGCCAAGTTGTGATGGGCAGAAGATGTCTCAACAGATACTAGATGGGAAAAATATCTCCTCCTCCATCCTGCAGCATATCTCTGATGTCAAAAGTAGCAAATCTGACGTCGCAGAGGATTCCCAAAAATCTGCAATCTGTAATATATTACTTGATCAGGAAATCAATAAAATATGCCGATCATCTGAAAAAGAGAAGCAGAACTCCCAACTCATGCTTGTGATTAAATACATTCTAGACCTTTTTATGATCTTGTGTTACTGGTTGTATTATTATTTTTCCCCATTATTACTAAATTTATAATCATCCTTATATAAGCACGGAAGGCAGTTAACAAGAACAAAACAAAACTCAACTAATCAAAATAGTAAAATCAAAACTAAAATCGGGAGAACTGAAATCAGTTTAATCATAAAAAGTTTGGAAAGAGAACATGTATTTCAGCTATGTACCTATTCCCTACTGAGGAGTGGGTATCAAATGTACTACCCCAGGGAACATATACCATTGCCAGGAAGCCCCTTGGGATAGCCCCCCTCCCGTTTCACCGATCAATCATTCTCTTCTGCTGATTTCAGTAAATGTTGTAGATTATGCCAGTGCCAGGAAAAATGAGATGCTTACATTTTACATGGAAATATGCTTTAAAAAAAAAACTCAGATTGAGATTTTTTTAAAAATAATAATAATCCTGTTTTATCTAAATTCGACTAACCTGTTGACAAGTTGTAAATCACGAACTTGGACTTTGTCTGAAGAACTGTTGATCCTCTAAAAGTGTTTTATAAAAATAAAAATAAAAATTATATGTGATTATTTTGCAATTAAAATCTGATACTAAAAACATATTTTTTAAAAAAATATGTAGATAGAGCACTATATTCTTAATTAGCTGAACAAGGAGTACTGTGTATATTCCTGAATATCATCAAATAATTCTTGCCATATGAGTTATGAAATCAGCAATGTGTATATACAGTTCAAATGCTAGGGTAGGATATATACATCATTAAGATGATAATGTATAAATTACTATGATAGCCTTCTCTTCTCCATGGAATTTAGGGCCAAGTTTTCATCTGGCCACTGTTTAATACCCTCCAGGAGGAGGACATCATATTAGTCCCCATATAATTTAGCTTTAAAGATAATTTTGCAAGAAAATCTCTGACTCCTTTCAATCTACACAACGATGGTTATAGGTCAACCTTCAAACATTATACCTTTTGAAGCTCCTTCATTTCTACTGCAGCCAACTGGACTTTCCGAGGGTTAACCAGCTCAACTGCAAAGGGCCTTCCTATGAACAAGGGTGTAATCATGATGGTGGCAATCAAGAAAGAAGGATGGGAAGAAAACAAAATAAGATTATAAACTAGTTTTCAGATTTAGACATGGGGAAAAAAGAAAATTGACAATTTAAAAATATCCATTTTCAGCAAACTATATAAAAATATATCAAGATGTAAGTTCACAAAGGGAAAAACTTCATACATGCCTAGGTTTATCAATATCTCAAATACATAAAATTAAAATCAGGTGTGCTAGATGAAGTGCAAATGATTAGATCAGTATAGAGAACCTAGGAGGAACAAGTTTTACTTAAACCTCAGACATTCAGTTTAATTTACTCCTTGTTGATGAAATATATGGTACCACCATGTCTAAATCAAAAGAGGACCTTGAAGCCTTCAAAAAGATTATAGATGCCTAAAGGCTGGCAAGAGATTTCAAAGGATTACCAACCAAATGGACATCAATAATTCCACTGTCCAGAAGATCAACTACAAGTGGAAAATATTTCACACAACTGCCTATTTTCCTAGGCCAGGCTGTCCCAGTAAGTTCAACCCTACAGCAGAACGCAAGATGTTTTTAAGAATCCTAGAATTTCATCACAGGAGCTTCAGGTACTACCTTGCTTGCTGCTATCAATGGCAAAGTGCATGAGACTTCCATTTGAAAGAAGTTGCACAAATTAAATCGACATAGGAGGTGTGGTGTGCCAAGAGAAAGGTTTTGTTTTCTAGAAGAAAAAATAGAGCAAGACTAAAGTTTGCTTATAAACACCTAGGCAAAGATCAGGAGCTCTGGAACAATGTGCTCTGGATAAACAAGACAAAGGTAATTATGTGGCTACCGAACCAAAAGTTGTGGTCTGCACATTTGTTAATTTGTTTGTTAACTTTGAGTAAATTATTTCAAAGTAAATTTTTCATAGCTTTTGTTGTTCTTCCAAAGGTACTTTTTTCAAGAGGCAACTGGACTTCCTGCTTCTTTATTGAAACAAGAAAGTCCAGTTGCCTCTTTAAAAAAGCACCTTTGGAACAACCATGACCTGGATAACTGAGAATCCCCACAGACATTCAGTTTTTGTTGTTGTTCAATTACATCACCTTTAGCTTTAAATACTGTTTGAATGAAGATCTTTTATACATAAATGTAGTTAAGTCATAAATTTTCTCCTAATGAAATTTCTTTAGATATGCTGTCCAGATTTCTACACTGAACAGTGGGATGGGCTCCATGGCCTGTCAGTGATGGAGAGCCTTTTAGGCACCAAGTGCCCAAACTGCGTGCATGCCCAAACTGAAAGGGGTGCATGCACGTGCAAACTTGGACATGCGCATGCGTAGCAGAGACTTGAAGACCAGCTGGCGGCCGGGAGGCGGGCATCCCAACACCGGCAGCATGGCAAGAGGTAAGATAGTTTTCTTTTGTGAGCTTCTGCTTCATTTTTTGCAGGGAAACAGGAACTCACGAAAGAAACACTACAGAGATCTGACCTGGAACAACGGCGCGCGTGCCAGCAGAGAGGGCTCTGCATGCCACCTCTGGCACACATGCTATAGGTTCACCATCACAGGCCTAAGTTGCCCCTTCCAACTCCCATGATCTCAGAAATGGGGTTTTTTTTGTCAAAGGTTTGTCAATTGATTTTTTTCCCATCTAGGATATTTTCAAGTGTTGAACTTACCCTTGCCTAATGTTCTCACATCCACATCTTCCCTTCCAGAGGATGAAAAATTAAAACCTTAAAAACAGGAGAAAGAAACACTGACTGAATTTTGAAATCTGTATGTAAGCCATGCTATTCAGCATGATCAAAGCAAATCATAGTTTAGCTCTACATCAGGGATATCAAACTCAAGGCCCAGGGGCCGGATCAGGCCCACAGCGTGCTTAGACCTGGGCTGCGGACTGCCCTGGAAACAGCAAAGGCTCACGCTGCCTCAGCCAGCAAAAACTGAGTTCAGGAGGGCCACGGGCAACCCTTCTGAGCTCTGTTTTCACTGGCAGAGAGTTGCAGGAGGCCATCGTAGTTGAAAACAGAGCTTGGGAGCCTGTTTTTGTTGGCAGAGTGCTCGGGCCAAGATAGCTGCCCCCAACATGAGTGACATGGAGCTGGTCATGCCCATCCCAGCCACGCCCACCCTGGCCCCCTGAGGTGAAACACAACCCTGATACAGCCCTCAATGAAATCGGGTTTGACAACATTGCTGTGCATTAAACAGATGCTGGGTTACTTGCCTACACAATTTTCCTGCATTTTTTCATCAGTGCATACATATTGCATAACTTATTTAAAGTAATGTAAACATATGCATGCACACACTCACTATCTGCTTTGAAGGCAACCATGAGATGCTCCAAGATCAATTCTTCTACAGATGATTCCATCTTCCTCTCTCCATCTATAATCCAGGGAGTCTGAGGTAGAGTTCTTGAATATTTATTATATCTTCCTGTTTAAAAAAAACAGACAACAGAAAAATGTGCTATGATATTTATTAACTCTTAGTTTAGCAAAAGTATTACAAATAAAAGCATTTTACTAGAAGCCAAGTGCACAGAAAAAGAAGTCACTATCATAAAGCATGTATTAGAAGTTCCCTCAAGAATTGCTCCTTAAGCTACTTCTTCCTCATGCTTTGAGCAGCGAAGGCTAAAACATAAGTTTGCTTTGAAAACATATCTATCAGCTAGTTGATCTATTGTGATATACAGACATCACATGTTAAGGTTGTTTCTGCCTATTTTGATGAAAAACAACTGGATAAATATTTGTATTTCATCTAATTATTCTGATCCAATTATTTTCCAAGATGCTTTTCCAATGACATTAGCTATCAAGTGAGTACAATCCTGGCCTAAGAAAAACTGCCAAATATAAATTCCACTTCCTAACAGCCCATTTTAATCAGAAATAGAGTGTGATTTGAAAAACAAATTCTCATTTGAAGTCAAATTTATATATTCTGCATATCAATCTCCTTCAATGCGGATGAATGTCACTGAAAAAAGCATCACTTTTTAAACACTTTCTCAATGGCTGAGTCATTTCTCAATGGCTCTACCATCATACTTCCCCATAGAACAAAACTTTTCATATAATCATATGGGTTTCTGTCCCAATAACAACTGAGTGGCCTTTTCTTATTAAGCAAAGGGCACACTTGCCCAGGAACCTTAAAAAAGAGTGATCCTTTTCAACCTCTATTAATGGAAAAACATTTACTCTCACCAGCCACAAAAATGGCACCATTGTTGCATTGAATCTCAACTGCTGTGCAAGGAGTTTTAGGTGAACTTGGAGGAGATGGATAGTTCCTGTATTAGGGGAGATATAAAAGGCAATTCACTAGAGAAAAGTTGAAGGAAACGTTAAACATTGTGCAAAATAAATAGATATGATTATCCCCCAAAAATCCTTTCTTTCAAATATTTCAAAAACATTTTATAATGCAAATAATTTCAAATAGTGCAATATTATATCTGAGAAATAGAAGCAGGTAGAAAAATTACAGTAACTGATAATCTTGATAATCTGAGGAGCATGAGCAGGCCAGTAGGCGTCTTCAGCTGCATATAATGGATGCACATCACTACACACAGCCGGTCCTTCATGCTTCATTGCTGACCACAATGTCTCCTTCATCTTTCTTGGAAGGAAGGAAGGAAGGAAGGAAGGAAGGAAGGAAGGAAGGAAGGAAGGAAGGAAGGAAGGAAGATCTCCTTCCTGGCATTTCTGTAGTCTTTCAGTGATGAGGAAATCAACCCCACTGAGCACATCCTTCTCTTCTAATCATTTTTACAAAGATATCTACAGTACCTTTATTTTCCCATTACTCACCAGTGTATTCAGCCACAAGGGCCAATTTTACATTGCCCTATTGATTCAACTCCCTCAAATGCATGAGATTGCCAAGTTCTACATAGAGCAGTGATGGCAAACCTTTTTGGCACTTGTCTGGGATGAGACCTGGAAGAGGAGCTGCCCAGGGGACATGTGCGCACCGGAAAATGCATTTCTGGGTTCTGGCAGTGCATGTGTGCTGGCCAGCTAGACTTCCAGTTACTGGATATGTGCGCGGAGATCAGCTGACCGGAACCCATGCTCACACCAGAAGACAGAAGACCAGCTCTTCCAGTTTCCACCACTGCCGCAATGCTGATTGGCCAGCTGATCATCGCATATGCATGCATGCAAGAAACCCAGAAGAGGAATGGGCGACACTGCGCATGCCAGGCAACATGGCTCTACGTGCTACTTCGGGCATGTGTGGCATAGGCTTGCCATCACGGACATAGAGCATGCAAAATCCACTGGATATTAAATGTTAGCTTGAACAATTCATGCTTGAAACATGCTTGAACTGGTATTATGACTCCTGTTGACCAAATTTAGTGGTGGGTTGCAGGCGGTACACCCCAGTATGGGCGTACTGGTGCCTGCCTGGAGCACCAGGTTCCGTTCTGGTATGGTGCTCCAGAGGTCCCTCCCGCCTGCCTGAGCTCTTTGGTGCTTCCACGCAAGCAGTGCACAGTGCCTGTGCGACGCTCCGATGAGCAGCAGGAGCATCGCGGAGGCGTTGGAAGAGGTAAGGACGCATGTGCATGCATGTGTGCACACGCTGCATGCATTCATATAGTGGATGCCAGACCATGTTGCAACGGGATCCGGAACCCACCACTGTTTCGTAGCCATGATTTATTCTTTTTCTTTATTAGCACAGCACAGATTCTGGTTTTACTTACCATTTTTTATCCTCATACTCCACATCATCATGGTTTTCAATATTTTTAGTCCTACTCTTTTTATGTTAGAGCTGTTAATCTCACAGCATCCCTGTTTTTTTTTAAACTTTAAAAAAATATTGAAATAAAGATACTATTTAAAAAGTTTGCAACACTGCTGCCAAATCTTTCTAGTTGTTCATGACCCTCTGATCATTTCATATTTACAATTTTACAACTAGGGATCATCTACAAATCTAATAATAATTCCTTCAATTTCATCTTTTATATTTTTATAAAGTTATTAAATAGTGCTGGGCCAAGGAAAGAGCTCTCGGAAGCCTACCCTGATGAGCCAGGGTCTTGAGGCTATTAAAGACTGGATGGGGGTCAACAAACTTGTGCTCAATCCAGAAAAGACCGAGTGGCTGT